TGGCTACATGCTGTATATAATCAGATAAACATCCGATCCAGCTGTTAACTGGATAGAGCCAGATATGTCGTCACATAGTGTGCTGTAGATGTGGGTCTGTGCAGTTTGTTAGGAATAATTAATACAAAAATGACTATGATCGGTGGGCGTACGATGGCAGATGGCAGATCAAGATCGATGTTGCTTGCAACTGGCCCCGACTTACGCACATATATGGTAAATAAAAATAGTATATTTCAAATTGTCCTTAGTGGTTGTAAATACTAAATCATTAATTCGCTCTTTTTCCCTTGAAAACTGAACTTAAATAATAAATCATTAAGTCATTCGATATATATTATATCTTCATTTTCGTACGACGGCATTCTGTGACAAAATGCAAGGTTGGATGCCACGCCTGAACGAGGATCGAAGACCAGAGGAAACAGTGATACTAAGCAAGTCGATTCAACCGACAAGCTACGTGATTCTGGAGAATAGCCAGCAACCAGATCACTTTATGCAGTCAGGTACGATAATTAAGTTGGAAACGCTCTCTCGATTTTATGATGAAATTTGACATAAATGTGTGAACGGAACTGTTAATTGCATTTTTAATAACTTTTTGGTAATTATTTTCAAGTAGAAGTGTATGCTTTAAGTGTCTTGCGTAATTTTACTAGGTTGATCTAATTAATTAAATTGTTAAATATTGTGTTCTTGGGCTGGTGCTGTTATGTCATATATATATATATATATATATATATATATATATATATATATATATATATATATATATATATATATATGTGTGTGTGTGTGTGTGTGTGTGTGTGTGTGTGCTTAGATCTCTATTCTATCCATTAATATCACAATTTTATTATTCACTCGCTCCATGAAAAACACGGAGGTCGATCATCCTCTAGACATCGATACCCCACCCCTATAATCAAATCGTGTTCCATTAACAAGTCTAATTTATGAAGTACATATTTTAGATGATATCTACACTTACCACAGTCGTTCCTGTCAACAGGACATTAATAACTATCTGTCAAAGACTACACTGATTGAATTTGTTTTAAAATTTAATGAAAATGATATAAAAAATTTCGATAAAATTTATCTTGAAGACCAGCAGTTGTTAAACAGCCAATAGGAGGAAATTATCACGATACGTATCTATCCGCTTAATCATATCACGGTACGTACGTTAGCGTCACTAGAACGACGATACACAATTACCAGACAACCGAAATTTCGCGTGCGGAAATACTATTTTACAGCCGCAATCCTTTCTCCCCACCCACATCTCTGAAACTTATTTCACGTACGCCAAACCTCAGCTGGATGGTGAAGTCACGATCGGAATAGACAATTACGTCATAGTAGAAATAACTTAGTTAACAATCGAACCACCTTTTGGGGTTTTTTTGGAAAGATCGGGAAATATTTCGAAAATAAAACAGCATCATCAGTCTCGTACAAGCATACTCTTATGCAACTTTGTGAGATCTCCACCATCCGAGGGTTTCGTAAAAAAAATAAATCTTTCTTCTAAAGCTACTGCGAGGATTTTCTAAAGTTTGGACAAATTATTTGATTATGTTACACTCTAGTTTCGTATTTTATTTAGGGTTACAGTTTTAAACGAAAAAAAATATTCACGTTTAAATTAACGGTTATGCTTGCTATATAAAAAATTTGTATGTCTTAGGTATTGTTCAAAGAACTTTTATTTCCCATTATTTTGATTTATTATTGATGAGCGTAACTTGAAGAATATCTAAGATTCTTTCAGTATGAGAGAGTCAAAATAATTGAGATAGTATAATAAATTTGGAGTATCCGCATTTGTGTAATAGCTCTCTATTTTAACGATTTCTTAAAATGTTGTGATTACTTGTTTGATTATGGGAAGTCGGTGCTGAGGCTATAGTTCTCAGCCCGAATAATTATCCAAGTACTAGAAGCAAACGTTACGGAGTGAACTGTTAGTGAGATTTCATTATGACTTTATTTAATTTTAGTGAGTTCAGGTCAAAGTCACATTAGTGTGCCTGGAGCTCAGTAGTCGCTATTAAAATCTAATTGTGTGGATTGATTGTGTGACTCCATGTGCAGTATTTATGACTGGGGGAGGGTAAGCTGCACAGTGGAATAATTGAGAAGGGACTGTTCTGTCATCTTGTGGCGCCGTTTCTTGTTGCTGTGATTGTAAACATGATGTAGAGGTATAGGCGAAAAGAGTCTTAAATTAATGATTTATCTGGCCTAAGGTATAGCAAGAAAAAAAAGTTACCTGTATTAGGTGTTTGAGTTTTAAAATACTGACGCTACGTTCCGGAAATAAAGGGGGGGGGAGAAACCATGCGGTTGTGATGTTGACAGACAATTGTGAAGTTGTGACATTTGTGGTCATGTAATAATTAGAGAAAAATTATTTCTAGGGTGGACGCTTTGGAAATTCCAGTTTACAACGGTAGAATAAAAGTCTTTGGAATCCAGGGGAAACAAATGACTTCTGACGGAATTCACTTCAGGGTTGAAATTGCATGGTAAAGAAACCCCTTTGGCTTATTACAATAAGACAGAAATTAACTTTTCTTTGCTTCATACAAATTCTTTCTGAGGCAGTAGATCACCAGTCCCTCAGAGGGACTTGCCAGGCGTTAAAGCTTCAGCCCCCAGAGAGATTAGTCAGGCGTTAAAGCTTCAGCCCAAAGGGGCTTTTCAGGCCGCACAGTGTCAGACCCACAGAGGGATGTGACAAGTGCTCTTTTGATTGATAGATAACTCTGTTCCTGGAATGTCTGATTCACCCCCGTACTTGTTATAGCTGTAGCTATTGTTGCTTTTCAAGGTAAATAGGTTATCACAATGTTGGTTCTTTTTATTATTGATTTTATTTTAAAGGATTGGAGTCATCACTCTCCAAAACAGGTGAGCCCGGAAAAATTAGTTTAGCCGAGCAACGTAGAACTTTCACACCCTAAAAAAATTATATTTTCCCCGATTCGTACCTTGAACATGAAAAAAATATGCTTACTCTCTTGAATGAGAGAGATTCTGGCTATTTTAGCAGCACCAAAGAATGACCAGCCAGCTAAACACGTTAGACAAGCCAGCTAAACACGTTAGACCAAAAAACAACCACCTTATTAAAGGATTTAAGAAAGCTTTTTCTGAATCTATGGTTCCCACATGCGTCGTAACTAACTACAGAACCATTCAATCATATTGTATCTGAGAAATACTGATTCAAACGGATTCTAAAATCATGAAAATCTAAAATCTGATTCTAACTGACTCTAAAATCATTTTAGATAACCTAACCGAATCGTATTAATAAACGATGGAATGTCTAATTTTATGTGATTTAAAGATACGGGCGATAACAATTGTTATTCATCTAAATGTGAACTACTTCAACAATAGGCTATTTATAATTGCTTCACTAACTAAACTGATTCATAGCTATCGCTCGCGGACATTAACAATTTTCATAGCTAGCGCTCGCGGACATTAACAATTTTCATAGCTAGTACATTTTGATGCTCAAAGTCTGTCGATTACAAAATGAGGAAACAGCACATTCAGTTCAAGAGCTCCAAGAAGACATATTCATGCCATTCGGAGATTTTTTTATAATAATTGCCAAGTCTCACGGGAGATTTAAACTGCTGAGTGAGCAATCCCATGTGTGGGAGTCGATTGAATTCGAATTATTCCGGGTGTTTACGTCGAATTGAATCGAGCAATACCGGGTGTGTGAGTACATTGTGTTAGAACAATCTCAGGTGTTCGAGTCAATTGGATCAGAGTAATCCCGCGTGTTTGAGTCCATTAATTTCGAGTTATCCTGGATGCTCGAGTCGATTGGATTCAATATATCTTCGTTTGCGACCAGAATGGTACGGGTTGGAACCTTGCTATCGAATCAGCTCTGGTTCTGTGTCCCTGAGCGATGCACTTTACTCCAAAACCCTATGCTAAATATAACCTTAGGAAAATAATTATAAAAATGGATGAGTCTTTAAAGTTCTCTATACTTTACAGAGATAAACTCGTTTTTATCCCACCGTACAGTCATTTGTACGTAACTCAGTTAATTTGTGTCTCTGCTGCCACTTCAGCGTTCCACAGATTCCTTCTGCCCACATAACGGAAGTGGGTGGTGTGGGAGACGATATACCATATTACGGAAGGTTGGGATTAGGTTGAAGACGATAGACCATATGACGGAAGATGGGGGCATGGGTTGGAGCCTTTACTGGTTTACATTTTGTACAACGGTACCGTAACATTTTTAATATTCAAAAGTCTTTACCTATAATAATGACCAATACGTCAAGCCAGCATTACTATTCAAGTCTCTCATTTACTTTGACAAACGTTTTCTACAACTTTTCTCATCGTAGCCAAAACATTTGTGAAATAGAATACAGCAGTGCTTGAACAGCAACCAATCAACGTCCTCGTTGAAAGATTTAACGAGTGAGAGTAGGCACGTATGGTTTGTGTGACAGAGGAGTAGGCACGTATGGTTTGTGTGACAGAGGAGTAAGCATGTATAGTTTGTGAAACATTTCAGTGAGAATAGGAAGGTATTATTTATGTGACATGCCAGTGAGAGTAGGAAGGTATTATTTGTGTGACATATCAGTGAAATTAGGAAGGTATTATTTGTTTGACATGCGAGTGAGGGTAGGAATATATTATTTGTGTGACATACCAGTGAAAGTAGGAAGGTATTATTTGTGTGACATGAGAGTGAGGGTAGTGAAGTGATTATAATTTTTAACGTAGCTTTAAAAACTTTTCAGTCATATCGATACGATGTCTGCAGTATTGCAGTTTATAGTGATGTCAAGCACTGGGGTATCATACCGCAGACACGTAGCATGATGTACCACAATGTCACATTATCCTGATACCAGGTCGGCCAGTCTTAACACTAACCTCTTAATGCTGAGCGCCATGCGAGGCAGCCGTTAGTACCATTATTGTAAGTATTTGGTATGACTCCACTTGGGATCGATCCCACAACCTCCAGCATCCGAGGTTGACGCTCTAACCACTAGGCCACCAGAGAGGTTGCGAGTGAGGATAGGCAAATAATGTTTGTGTGACATACCAAAGAGAGAAGGCTCATATTGTTTGTGTGACATACCAAAGAGAGAAGGCTCATATTGTTTGTGTGACATACCAAAGAGAGAAGGCTCATATTGTTTGTGTGACATACCAAAGAGAGAAGGCTCGTACTGTTTGTGTGACATACCAAAGAGAGAAGGCTCGTATTGTTTGTGTGACATACCAAAGAGAGAAGGCTCGTATTGTTTGTGTGAAATAATTGATAAAAAAAAAATGTCAACTAGGATGTACATAAATCTTTCATAACATTGTAGGTATGCCCATCCATTTTTACGGATGATCTGTATTATTCTGTGATTGAGTATTTACAATTTATAATAATGGTTTGCATTCTTTGTTAGTTCACGTTTTTCTTGTAGATGATGTTAATACAAAGCAGCAGGATCGTTTAGTTTATTAAGATGTCTAAATTGAGTCTTAAATCAAAGTAATGGACACAAAAATGAAAAACTTGAACAGTTTTTTGAAACACAATTTGTTTTTCTATAATTTTATTAAACATTTTGCATTCTAACAGTGCTACAGAAACTTCGTATAACATTGATATATGCAAAAGTCAAATCAAGCGTTTTTTTTCATATTCATATATAAACATTGTTAACTAATCTCTCTCTCTCTCTCTCTCTCTCTCTCTCTCTCTCTCTCTCTCTCTCTCTCTCTCTCTCTCTCTCTCTCTCTCTCTCTCTCTCTCTCTCTCTCTCTCTCTCTCTCTCTCTCTCTCTCTCTCTTCAAAATACACCTAATTATGGTATTATAATTAAACCTATATCAATATTCCCTGGAACATCTGTACTCAATTGACAATTTATTTTTCGGATTTGATTTTCATGTGAAATAAGTTATACCCCACATTCTTCGAAATTCTAACTTTTAATACCTTTCCGACTAACTACATATTATTTTAAAGGTTAAAGAGTGACTTTGAAATGCCTAATTAACATTAGTTACAATAATGTGGCATTCTTCCTAAATCTGACTTATTACATTTCTTTTGTACAAACATAAACTAAAGTTAATATGTATATACATTAATACATAATAAAGCACAGATCGATAATCGGGATATAAGTAATGTAGAGCGAGGATCTGAATTTGGGTTGACGACTGTCATCATATATACACAGCAAACTGAAGACTGGACCCTGCATGAGTGATTGTATTCCTGTGACTGAAGCAAATAACTAACCAGGTGTATGCGACCCGTGATACAAGCCAATGGCAGGTCTGGAAATCCCCAGCCCATGATTTTAGTAAACCTGTGACAGGACCTATAAAAGTACATAACTGTGTTCCAAAATGGAATTGGCTATATAATACGGATTGATAGATGACGCTGAAATATTGGCTCTGGTCGAAGCTGATTATACAGGATATGACCACTGGGAAGCAAACCATGATCTTCGCAGTTCTTAAAACCGAATGGAAAATGCCACTTCCCTGCTAATGGTGGAAGTAGTCAATGAAACCTGGTTGCGAAATTTATAATCGTCTGCTCCGTGTAAATATAATTAAATCAAACAAACACTCGCTAGCCTCTACCAAAGACGGAATTTGAGGTAGAAGCTTGAAATAATGACTCCAAACCTTTTCTCATAAAATAACGTAAGAATATGCAGATGGTCTCTAAGTACCCCTCGAGGAGATGGACTAGGGATTAAATCTTCAAAATTTAATTCCCAATCCTTGTTCCTTGCTAGACGGATTCTCATTAAGTCACCCCAACCTTACCCATGAAAGAACGATGGTACTCGAGCCATGAATGGAAAATTACCAACCATAGCCCATGGGCGCGGTAGACCTAAGTCCCTCGGATTCAAAGATTTCACTCCAACCCATACCTGTCCTCTCCCCGTCACCGTCACCGTCCCCGCCCCCGCTACCATTCTAAACATGGAAGTGTAAACTTAATTATGGGGGAACAATCAGGGGATGATAGACGGTACTGAATTTCCCCAGCCCTTTACTACAGACGGATTTGGGCATAAATTCTGACAAACATGATCCCATATTTGTTCCGTCGACAGATAGTGAATGGATAATCTGCAACCATTGTTCCTAACTGGACTTTGGTTCGAATCTTAAATTATCCTTCCCTAAAATTTCCTCGTGGTGGGAAAAAAATTCGCAGCTGATCCTGAATGGTCGATTAGCGAGTGCTTTGTCAAGGTCCTTTAGAAAATTCTCATAACAAAAACTTGTTAATGTCTATCAAATCTTGTAGAGTCCCATAAAATTGGACATAGTCGCCATGTAAATACTAGATATATTATTTACACCAGTCGATATTCTATCATGACGACGCAGACGAATAACAGATGAAAGAAAACTACTTTGGAACCAAAAGTCTCCTTCTGGTCTTGACTTCCGGTCCATCATCAGCAATTGTCTCCCATTGGATGGTAGAGAGGGATTCTCCCTTTGTACGTAGTGCTCCAATATGAAACTAGGGTTCACCGTTCCTAGAGACGGTTGGGATCTGAATGTGATGAAGGAGTAGACAAAGTAGTACCCTTCCTCGGGGACCTGCATTGTCGCTCCGACCATCTGTACACCATTTACAAGGAAGGCTGTGTTATAGCCGTCAACCAGCGTCCAGGCGAGCGTGTCATCTGCAATCAGTCAATCACATTCAGCAATTAAATTCTTGTACACTAATTACATTTTTGTAAAATGTAGACGCCGCCTAATAAAGCAGAGGTAAGTAATTTTTCTTTTGTTTTTTTTTTCTTCTTTTTTTCCATACATGCATGTTTGCTTTTTTTTCTTCTATTTTTACGTTTTTCTTTCTCTTGGCGCATACATTCTTAATATTCTGATCTATACCTAACGTACTCTTTCTCACTTTGTTTTCGAAATTTATATAGGTTTGTAACCGCTATTTAACACATGAAAATGTTAATCTGCCTTTATGATAATTTTCTTTATATATTTATGGGAGAAATTTATTTAAACAGATGTATTTATGACATATATTTAAATAGACGTATTTATGAAAAAGATTTGATATTTATGGGATAGAGTTAAGTATGTATTTATAGGAGAGATTTAAATAGATATACTTACGGGATAGATGTGAACAGATGTATTTATGGGAGAGATTTAAACATGCATTTATGAGAGAGATTAAAAATAGGAGATATATTATCAGATGTATTTATGGTAGAGATATGAACAGATATATTTGTGGAAGAGATTTAACAGATGCATTTACGATATAGATTTAAATAGATGGGAAAAATATGACAAGATGTATTCATGGGAGAGCATGCAAGAGATTTGATAAGATGTATTTATGACAGATTTTACCTGAATTATTTATGATAGAAATTGAAAAAGATGTATTTCTGGAAGAGATTTGAACAGATCTATTTATGGAAGAGATTTGAACAGATGACCTTATTGTATATATTTTATCAAATGTATTTACGAGAGATATTATACAGATGTATTTCTGGAAGAGATTTGAACAGATGTATTTATGGAAGAGATTTGTACAGATGAGAGAGATTTGAACAGATGTATTTATGGAAGAGATTTGACCAGAAGTATGTTTGGTAGAGATCTGACCACAGCTATTATTGGGAGAGATTTTATCAGATAGCACATCATAAGTACTATGGGAAAGATTTGTCCAGATGTGTTTTTTTGGCAGATTTAAACAGATGTGTATTTGGGAGAGATTTCAAAAGATGCAGTTATGGGAGAGATTTAAAAACAGGTAGATGTATTTATGGGAGAGATTTGACCAGATATAATAATGGGAAAGATCTGAAAAGACGTAGTTATGGGAGAGATTTGAACAGATGTCTTTACGGGATATATTAAACAAATTTATTTACGATAGAGATTGAAACATGTGTATTTTTGTAGAGATTTGAACAGATGTATTTATGAAAGAGATTTAAACAAATGGGAGATATTTGAACATATGTATTTATGGTAGAGATCTAAAGAGATGTATTTATGCAACAGATCTGAACACATTATTTATGGAAGAGATGTAAGATGTATTTATGGGAAAGATTTGAATAGATGCATTTATGGGAGAGATTTGTCAAGATGTATTTATGGGAGAGATTTGAGCAAATGTATTTATGGGAGAGATTTAAATTGAGATATTGATGGAAGAGAGGTACACATATGTCTTTTTGGAGAAACTTGAATAGATGTTGTTTTTTTATGGAAGAGATATGAACAGATGTGAGGGATTAGAACCGATGTATTTATGTTAGAGATTTAAAGAGATGTATAATTGGTAGAGAGTTGAACACATGTATTTATGAGAGAGATTTAAGCATGTATTTATGTGAGAGATTTAAACAAACGTCTTTATGGGAGAGACCTAAACATATTTGTTTATAGGACGAATTTAAACAGATGTAATGATGAGAGAGATTTAAATTGATGGATGTATTTATAGGAGAGATATGAACAGATGTATTTATATGAGAGATCTGAACACATGTATTTAAATTGAGGAATGTATTTATAAGAGTGATTTGAACAGATGTATTAATGGGAGAGATTTAAATTGATGGATGTATTTATAGTAGAGATTTGAACAGATGAATTTATAGGAGAGATTTGATCAGTTGTATTTATGGAAGAGATTTAAATTAATGGATGTATTTATAGGAGAGATTTGAACAGATGTATTTATGGGAGAGATTTAAATTGATGGATGTATTTATAGGAGAGAATTGAACAGATGAATTTATAGAAGAGATTTGATCAGTTTTATTCATGGGAGAGATTTAAATTAATGGATGAATTTTTAGGAGAGATTTCAACTGATGTATTTATAGGAGAGATTTGATCAGATGTATTTATGGGAGAGATTTAAATTGATGGATATATTTATAGGAAAGATTTAAACAGATGTATTTATGGGAGAGATCTGAAACAGAGTTATTTATAAGAGGAAATTAACCAGATGTCATT